CATCCCTTGCTGCAGCTCCTAAGTTCAAAAGCATGCAAATACGAGTAGATAAATAGGTACCACTTTGGTGGGAAGGTAACAGTGTTCTGTACGCCTTGATATAATAGTCACGCTGGCCACATGGAAAATGTCTTTAGACGATGCTGTCTCTCCCTCCTAGGAAACAGAGATGAGTATTGGCCCCTAGGGTTAGAAATGACCAGGCAGGGAAACTTTTAGCTTTATTAATGGCAGGAGATAGGGGCTTGTAGGACAATATATCTGGAAGGCATCAAATTTTCCGCTTTTGTAAAAAGCTTTGCCTGTTGAATTTTTAATATAAATGGCGGGCGGGGGAGGCCAACTGAAGGAAACGTAGCAGAGGCTGACCAAACGATCAGTAAAATCAAACTACAACCAACCGATTGTTCAGATAGATGAAACCAGACACTGTGGTTTGAGGTTCCCTCCCCTTTGCATAATGGAGAGTATCGATCCGACACCAGGCTTTCAAAAGCATTAGGCACAGAGAAGAAACCTTATTGATCGGTGGCAGTTAATCAGGATCATATATTTCGAAGGACTCCACTGCTGAGTATCTGACACAGCTTTGGAAAGCAAGAGAACAAGAAATCTGTTGCTTTTCAGCAAGATTTTCCCTCTCCGGGGACTGCACAAGAGGCCTTGTAGTTGGATAACCACGGAAAGAAGAGATTGAGTTTAAATAACCTCTGGACCCAACAAGGCCTTTTTGCATTCTTGGACATTGCTGGTTTTTGTAGAGTTGATGTTTAGTAAGGGAGCTTTGTTTTATTGTACAACAAGAGCTGCTTTCATCCATAATGGCTAAAAATAATAAAATAAAATAATAATACAACAAAATACCAGGAAGTATGACTATTCCGTTTTAGGAAAAAGCCTTTGGTGAGATGCCATTTATCAAAGCTTTTTATGCCTTTAAAGAAAATTGGCTAGTAAAAAAAAAAGTGTTTCCAGATTTCTGATTTCTGGAGATGATTGAGAACAGATGTTAACCTTACTATGTAAATTGGAGACACTTTTTTTTTTAAAAAAGAAAAGTCTAGTATGGTATGAAGTGGATCACCTGCTTTGGCCCAAGGATAATTATCTTATTGTCCTCTGCATTCACACTATGTTGATAGAAACTAACTGAGTTGATGGGAACTAACCCAGGCATGATACTCCCCTCTGAAAAAAAAATCGGGGCCGGCCAAAAGAGACCCCGCGCCACGCACCAAGAAATCGCACACACAACACCAATGCTACAAACCCTTCCTTTCCAGCCGGTCAGGTGTGGATCAGGCTCCGGAGCTGGGCAGCCGCTTCCCTGGTGGTGGGACCAAGGCCGCTGCCCGGGGAGCGCCCGCTGCTTTCCCTTGCCAGGGCTGGGCGGTGGCGTGTTGCACGGAGAGACGGCTGGTATGTGGCTGCCCGCTCGCACCACCCGGGCTCCGCTCAGGTGTCCAGCTGGGGCTGTCAGGAGTTGCTACCGCTGGCGCGGCTCTGTGCGGCTCCAATCCCGCGTTGCCTCAGGAAGGGAAAGGCAAAACCAGGAGCCGCTGCGCCTCAGCCTCCAGTGCCGCTGCTGCCATTGCAAAGCACCGCCGCGGCTCTTCATTTTTGCCTTTCCGTTCCCGAGGCAACGCAGGACTGGAGCCACGCGAAGCTGCACCGGTGGTAGCGACTCCTGACTCAGGGGGCCTCCGAGGGGAAGGAGGAGAAGAAGGAGGGGGGGGAGAAAAGGGGGGGGCGATTCCCCCAAAAATCGGAATTCCAATTTTAATCGGAAGAATATCATGTCTGCTAACTGGAGTGGAATTCTACCGGTTCGGACCGGTTCAGGTGAACCGGATGTTAAAGTTACATCTGGTTTGCCGAACCAGTTATTTTAATTGACTGGCTGGCCCCGTCCAGCACACCCCTCCCCTCCCAGAAATATCCATGTGGCCCATTTTCAATGGAGGTAACGTGTAGGGTACACGTGAAGGCTCTGGGAGAGGAAAAAATGAGCCTTCCGGAAGTCTGGAAACGGGCCTCTTTCTGGCTTCTGGAGTGCCTCCAGAGGCTTGGAGGAGGCCTCTGGGCCCTTGGGTGAGCAACAAACGGCCCTCCCGAAAAATTGGAAGTCATAAAATGGGCCTGTTTCTGGCTTCCGGTGGGCCTCCAGGGCCCAGGGGAGGTGGTTTTCACCCTCCCAGAGGCCCGGGGGAAGCCTCCGGACCTTTGGGAGGGCAAAAATGGCCTCCCCGGTCTTTGGAGGCCCTGGAAGCCATAAACAGGAAGTTCTAGTAGGCCATGCCCGCTATGGTCATGCCCACCCAGCAACTGGGCAGTAAGCCGGTTGCTGGAATTTTTGAATCCCACCCCTGGAACTAACCAAGGAGCGAAACAACCTGGAACTAAGAAGAAATTTCTTAATGGTGACAGCAATCAATCAGTGGAACAGCTTGCCTTCAGAAGTTGGAAGCTTTCAAAAAGAGATTGGATAACCATTTGTCTGAAATGATACAGAGTTTCTTGCTCAAGCAGGGGGTTGGACTAGAAGACCTCCAAGGACCCTTCCCACTCTGTTATTCTATGTTCCATGTTGATAAAGCCAGAATACTATTCGTTTTAAAACCTTTTTTTAAAAAAAGTTTAATAATGGCCACCCAGAGCTGTCCTTACGAAAACCAGCCTGCTGATCCTATTATTATCTACCTTTCACTCAAAGATCTACATGTTTGTGTGCACGCACATGCATATCTGTGTGGGATGGTGCTGGTTGTAAACCCCCTTTTGTCAAGACCATGGAAAGGAAATGAACATTAAATAAAAAGCCACCCCTGGCTACAAACTTGTTCCTGTTTAGCTCTCTCCGGAAGCTGGCCCAATCTCAGCACTGTTCTCATTTAAAGTTCAGCTCAAATGCACACAAAGTAAAACATAACAGCTGAATTTGGACAATGCAGTAAGCCTTAAAGCCAGTTTCTAAAGCTCTGTTTCTATTCCCTAATAGCTTTGTCCTCACCAGCCATTCTGGTAGCGTCCCTGCAACAGATGGCCTCTTCTGTCTCTAGAATCCCATTCATTAAACTGAACAATCTTTCAGCCAGGATTACTGACACAGTTCTCCAAAGAGATCTAATACATGAATTCATTCGTTCATTCCTTCACTTATTCCTTCACTCACTCAGTCACTCACTCACTCACTCACACACTCCACTTCTATAGCTGCCTATCTGAACAAATGAATGATTTAAGCAGTTTGCTCTAATCCAGAGGGGTCTCTAACTTTGGCAACTTTTAAAAATTATGGACTTCAATTCCTAGAATTTCTCAGCCAGCCATGGGGACTTCAACTCCCAGAATTGTGGACTTGTGGATTTCAATTCACACACTTCCTCTAGGAGTTGAAGTCCACAAGTCTTAAAGTTGCCAAGTCTGAAGACCTCTCTTTAATCCATCTTCTTGACCCAATTTGGAGCTGTAGTTTCGAATCGCTGCACTGATTTGAAAAGTCCAATTGATCAACATTTCTGGATGTGCACAGTCCAGTTTTAAAAGCAACCGGACATCTCTGCTTTTGATGGGGTCTTTGGAATTTTTCGACTCAAATCTCATTCTACGACATATGAAATCCAGGAGGCTGTTCTCTGCTGCTACATGTTTATGCGAAGTAGTGGTGGGATTCCATTTTTTTTACTACTGGTTCTGTGGGCATGGCTTGATGGCATGACAGGGGAAGGATATTGCAAAATCCCCATTCCCGCCCCAGCCCACTAACCTGCTTTCCAGCTCCGTTCTCCTGTTCAGGGCAACAAAAGAAGACCCAGCCAATCAGCTGGGACTCGGGAGGCGGAGAATAGATAAGGGCGGGGCCAGTCAGAGGTGGTATTTGCCAGTTCTCCAAACTACACAAATTTTCCGCTACCTGTTCTCCAGAACTGGTCAGAACCTGCTGAATCCCACCTCTGATGCAAAGACAAAATTCCCTAGTTGGATTTCTGCTTGGCAAAAATAAATTTCTTTGGCCGCGAATCTAGAGTAAATCGATAATGCAGTCTCTGCTGTTGGTTGGGGCCAATGCATTAAAAAGCCTTTTTTTTTTTGGAAGATTCTAATCCTCATGTCTAAAAATCTTTAGCCCTCTGAGATCACAATGGGACAACTCACTACAGCTAACTCACTGTGGGATAACTTGCCATGGCCAATTCACCACGCAACAACTTGTTGCAGGACAATTCAACACTTTAATTATTTTAAAATGATTTAAAAATTACTTTAATTTGTCATTCACATCTCATTCTTTCGTTCCTTTTGTTGTCAGCTTTGGAAGCCATATTGAGACCAGATGCTCCCACGCTGCCACATTTCAACCTTGGAGGAGGGAACTTCTTGGAGTGTACGTAAACATAATAACATTATTTTTCTAATTCAAGGTCATGTTACTTTGTGCATAAGTGAGAGGAAGTCTTAACTTGGAGCAGATGGTGATTGGGCCATATGATGTGATGATGGGCGTAGGGAATGGATCAGAGGTAGTATTTAGGAGGTTCTGACCAGTTCTGGAGAACTGGTAGCAGAAATTTTGAGTAGTTCAGAGAACCGGCAAACACCACCTCTGACTGGCCCTGCCCCCATGTATTCTCTGCCTCCTGAATCCCAGTTGATCGGATGTGTCTTCTTTTGTTGTCCTGCACAGGAGAATGGAGCTGGAAAGCAGGTTAGTGGGGTGGGGAGGGAATGGGATTTTGCATTGTATCCTTCCAATGCCATGCCTACCAAGCCACGGCCACAGAACTGGTAGTAAAATATTTTGAATCCCACCACTGGGATGTATTTGTAGTTTTTACTTATTGTAAGATTTGGGATTCCCCAGTTGTGCTAGTTACTATCCAAGTGAAAAGGAACCTTTGAGGAAATATCTGTCTCGGACTTATTGGGCAGAGTGGAGGGTTGCTAGAACACTGACATTTGTATTCTTTCTTTAATGATTCTATTCCACCATTTCTTTGGTATCAGTGTAACTCTTGTCGCATGGTGAGTTGGCTGTGGCAAGTTGTCCTCGATCCCTCCAAGACTGCTTCAAACACACATACGATTTGGGAGCACAACACCTTGCAATCAAGAATAGTTTGCTGCAAACCATTTCCTATTCTTCAGAATAAATTCTCCCAATTGCCTATCACATTTGTTCTCTTCCTGTCATCCCAAATGATAAATAAAATAAATTTATAAACCTTTGGTACAACTCAAATCCTCCAGTGAAAACGTCCTCCAACACTCTCGTATGTTTAAGCTGTTGACAACATTTAGCTCAATTCTTTTATTCCCGTTTGGTAGTTTTAAAAATACAGCATAAAAGAAACCCTGAACAAACCCCTACAGACAGGATTTGGGGTACACAATCATGGTTTAAGGAAGCCAACTGAGCAAGATGAATTTACCTGGCCTGCTCTAATCCTTAATCAAAGTTTGATCAGCAGAATTCAAGAGGCACATGTCTTCATGGAAGCACCCTTTCCTGTACATAAATAAGTTACTGTTAAAAGGAGAAAAAAAACCCCTGCAGACTCTAGAAAAGTCTAGAAAAAGCAGCTCATTCTCATTCCAGAAGCCATACAGTCTCAGGAGGACTAATGTCCTTGAACATGATTTAAACCTGTGCTACGATATGTATGAAGGCTTTAATTTATGGTACTCGGGACAACCTACTTAAAAATATACTGTAGCTTATTTGAAGTTGGCTGGTTTTCTTTTGAAGAAGACAACATAATATATGACCTACAAACCAGAAAGTAGACTAGCAACCAGTGAAGAAACTCTCGGAGGGGAAGGGCAAGTTTACATTGCAACCCCAATTTTACTTTTCTGTTTTATAAAAAGAAGTGGTTCCGTGTTCTAGACCTGCCTACCTCAATCTGGTACTCCTTCCAAAAGTGTTAGACCAATGTGACTAACATTCCAAACCCAACTGTGTTGCAAACTAACTTCTCAGTAAGATTCCATCCATGGTGTGGAAAGATTGATCAATGCACAATGAAAAAGGCATGCAAAATAGCATCTAAGAAGTTCTTTGTGCCCTACAGGTGAGAGAGGAGGGTTGTTGGATGTCTAGTTAAATGAGGTGATAGTAATCCATCCACCTCCATTTTCACAAGGCTGCTACCTCTTCAGGGCCTCTCCAATTGGCTTCTGTGTTTGGCTGTCTAAACAGCTGGTTGGCTTCATCTACTTAGGTTGAGCTCCACACTGAAGTCCTCCTCCAGGTGTTCTGTAATTTTTGCAACTGTGGACTGTAGATGAAATCTCCTTGTTATTTGGGCTTTTATGGTGGTTAGATTCCTATATATGTCAACTGAGCTCTGATTGATTTTAATGGGTGTTCTTGCAATAATTCCTCTCTCCAAATGGACCTCCTGGGATTTGGATGGAACAGACTCTGCTGATAAACTACATTTTCTCAGACCCAGAGAAAATTGGCTTGCTGTTCTCATGCTGATGGGACAACCCTACCCCGCTCCCCTTTTAAAAAACTCTCAATACTTTAAAATATATATTTAAATTTACAACAACTGTAAAAAATAGAAGTAAAAATATTTCATTTGTTTCCCTCCTAAATGTTCTTGAAAATAAGATTTTTAAAAAAGGTTCCTTTCCTTTTCTTTCTTCTGCCCTCCCCCCGCAAAGCCACCCATACAAGGGATGAGCACGTTTTAAATTTTGTGTCCCTTATTTTCATAGAACAAGTAGAATTCTGAGATTTTAGTCTCTGAGGGAACGGAACAGACAAATACACTCCCTTTATATTATGCGTTTTAGAAAGGCACATGTCAATGACAGGTGTGTGTGTGTGTGTGTGTGTGTGTGTGTGAAGCCAAAGTTCTGGGCTGCAAAACTCCCAACGATGCAGAAATTTAAAAATCACCTTGGATGACCTCTAAGGGTTGTCTAAATTTATGGAACCCAGCTCTTGCACTGCATTGGTGCGTGTCCTCGTGTGTATGTGTTTGTGTGCAACGTTAATTCCTTTCTCTGCTTTATACGTATATATAAAGTAAATAAAAGTATTTAACCTGCCCATCCTGCATTATTTCCTTTGAGCCCTGCTCCTTCGCTCCTGGGCTTGTAGCCACATGAAATAGCAAAACACCAAATATACACAAAGCAAACCCTTTTAACTCCCAGGCCACCACGGTCTTGTTCATACCACCGAACAAGAACTGGTGAGGGTTGTTTTTGGCCTTGCTGGGATCCTTCAGAGAAAAGACCATGATTGGAACAAAGCTCTTCTGAGGTAATTTTGAAACCAAGACAGTGTTTGCCCACCCGTCCTTTTTTTTTTTTTGTTTTTTTTGTAGGGCTGAAGGCCCAGTCATTCTGACAACGGAAAAGGAATTAAAACATATGGTTACAATAGGAGCGTCTCGAACAGGACATTCCTTTCCAAATTGGGCATTTTTTCCTATGCTGTCAAAACTTCGAAACCTTATTTGAGGGGCCTTTCAAAGCTAATTGCAGCTTGCAGTTCTTCGAAGCTTTCTCGGCTGAGACTTGACAGACTGCCCCCTCCAAGACTCCATTTATTTTAAAACATCGGCCTTTCCTTCTTGTCGGAGACCAGCGCTTTGTCCGACCGCCGGGGTCATCTGCCCTTGAAGAACCGTATTTTGGCTACGGAGGCGAGGGTTTGCGTCACGTTGGCCTCAAAGTCTCCATCGTGGACGCCGGTTTGGCGGAAGGCTCCTGCAGAAGGATTGTTCTCCCAGTAGTGGTGCCAGTTGCCTTTACTGTCTGCCCCAAAGCCGTAGAGATCCACCTATGGAGAAAGAACCATCACCATCTCCTTTTAACGACCCCATAATCCCTAGCGGGGGTGGAGTCTGGGCAACTGAATGGAGCTAGCAGAGTGTTTAATGGCCGGATGCCCTTCCTGTCACCGATACAGAATTTTATTCGGCAGATAAATTCTCAGTATGCCCAGAGTGAAATATCTGACCTCTAACTAGGAGTGAACTCACAGCCTCCTGATTGTGAGGTGAGACCTCCACATCTAGGCCACTCACTGCACCACTCAATTACAGAGAAAGAATGGACAGGGGGAAAAAAAGAGAACTGTGCAAAGTTTGGTTCTTAAGTGGATTTCATTTTCCTTATTTCTATTATTTCTATCAATCTTAGAGCACAGAACAGAGTTGGAAGGGATCTTAGAGGCCTTCTAGTCCAACCCCCTGCTCAGGTAAGCTATTTCAGACAAATGGTTGTACAGTCTCTTTTTGAAAGCCTCCAGTGATGGAGCACCTACAACTTCTGAAGGCAAGCTATAGCTATTCCATTGGTTGGTTGCTCTAACTGTTAGGAATTTTCTTCTTAGTTCCAGGTTGGTTCTCTCCTTGGTTAGTTTCCATCCATTATTTCTCATCTTGCCTTTTGGTGCTTTGGAAAAATAGTTTGACCCCCCTTGTCTTTGTAGGAGCCCCTCAAATATTGGAACACTGCTATCACATCCAGTTTTGGTTACATTATAAAAAGAGATGATGAGACTCTAGAAAAAATGCAGAGAAGAGCAACCAGGATGATTAAGGGACTGGAGGCTAAAACGTACGAAGAACAGTTGCAGGAACTGGTCCTGGCTAGTCTAGTGAAGAGAAGGACCAGGGGAGACATGATAGCATTGTTCCAATATTTGAGGGGCTGCCACAGAGAGGAGGAAGGGGTCAAGCTATTTTCTAAAGCGCCTGTAGGCCAGACAAGGAATAAATAGATGGAAACTGAACAAGGAGAGATTCAACCTGGAAATAAGGAGAAACTTTCTGACAGTGAGAACAGTCAACCAATGGAACAGGAGTTGCCCTCAGAAGTTGCGGGAGTGCCATCACTTGAGACTTTCAAGAAGAGATTGGATTGTCATTCGTCAGAAGTGGTATAAGGTCTCCTGTTTGGGTGGGGGGTTGGACTAGATGACCTATAAGGTCCCTTCCAACTCTGATTATCTGTTAAATATGTCCCCTAGTCCTTTTTGTTAGACTAGACATACCCAATTCCTGTCACTTGCATTGACCTGATGAACCAACCAAGTTGACCCTTAAATACCCTTTTTAAAATGTTTTCCCTCGCAACCTGTTGCCATTACTGTAATCCTTTAGCTTCCAGCCTTCTAATCGTCTTTGCTACTCTTCTCTTTCCAGAGTCTCAACATCTTTTTTTTTTTATACTGTGGTGACCAGAACTGGGTGTAGTATTCCAAGTGTGCTATTACTAAGGCTTTGTAGAGTGGTACTAAACTTCACGTGATCTTGATTCTACCCCTCCATTTATTCCTTTGCAGGTATTGCTGAAGTAACCATGACAACCGCAAGACAATGTTAGCCCCCTCTTTTGTAACTGAAGATATTGTTTTTCAAAATTACGTAGGCTCCCTGGGAGAAGAAAACATGATTTAGTAGGAGGTTAGCCACCTACCACCCTCAAGGTGTTGCTGAAGTACAATTCTCTCTGTCTAAAGAAGGCGATGATGCCGACAGCTGAAATGAAACAATAGCTTGAGATGAATTTACGGAAAATAAGGAATAGCTTCATCAGGATAATGAAGTAATGGGAACAGAATGTGTGGAAAAATTTTTAAAAGTGGGGTTTTTTTTCTGAATATGAATCAGAATAGAGCTGGAAGGGGCCTTGGAGGTCTTCTAGTCCAGCTCTCTGCTCAAATGGAAGATCTTATACCATTTCAGACAAGTGACTGTCCAGTCTCTTCGTAAAAACTTCCAGTTATGAATGTCTATGGAGATTCTCAGTTGTCCAGATCATGGCTGTCCCAAAGGTGTTTTTTTTTTCAAGAAGCAACCAGAAAGTCCAGTTGCCTCTTGAAAAAAAAAGCATATTTGGGACTTCCAGTGATGAAGTACCCACGACCTCTGAGGGCAAGTTGTTCCACTGCTTAATTGTTCTCTCTGTTTGGAAGTTTCTCCTTAATTCTAGGTTGCTTCTCTCCTTGATTAGCCTCCATCTATGGCTTCTTATCCTGCCCTCTGGTGCTTTGGAAAATAAATTGACCTTCTCCTCTTTGTGGCAGCCTGCGGTGACCAAAACTGGATGCAGCATTCCAGGTGTGGCTTTACTAAGGCTTTATAAAGCGGTACTAATACTTCACGTGGTTTCTGATTCTGTGCCTCTGTTTATACAACCAAGGATTGTATTAGCCTTTTTGGCAGCTGCTGCATGCTGCTGGCTCATGATTAACGTCCAGCTAGAACTCCAAGACCTGCAGAGTGTGCTCCAAGCAGTAAACATAACAATGCCCCTAAAAAAGCAGACAGAACTTTGATCACGTCATCGTGGCTACCATCCTGACTTTTTGGACCATACTGCAGATCCTTTTGGATCCTGGCTTGGTAGCTTCTCATTGTAAGATCCACCAAGGTTATTCTTAAATTGACTTCAAGCTCTCCTTCATTCAAGGTTGCTTCTCTCCTTGATTAGTTTCTATCCATTGTATTTTTTGTCCTGCCTTCTGGTGCTTTGGAAAATAAATTGACCCCCTCCTCTTTGTGGCAGCCTTTCAAATACTGGAGTACTGATATCATGTCCCCACAATTCCTTCTTTTCTCTAGACTAGCCAGACCCAAATCCTGCAGCCATTCTTCATATATTTTAGTCTCCAGGCCTTTAACCATCTCAGCTGCTCTTCTTTGCACTTTTTCCGAAAGACTCAACTTTTGTTTGTTTGTTCTAGGTGTTTTAGGGTCAACTTGAACAAAGGCTAGGTCATTAGGTCCATGCAGGTCACCATGCAAACCAGGATTTCTCCCACTTCTTCTGAAGGTAGCCTTACTTACCTTATCACAGAGGTGAAGGGCAAAGATAATTGACAGGAAGCCAGTTGAGGGATACCTCCCGTGATGTTGGAGCCAGTTGTCATAAACATATTTCATAAAACTAGGATGATAAACCATGATCTGCACAGAATGAAAGAACATATCCTGTTATTTTAATTAGGGAGATAATTCAACATAAAAAAAACAAACCCACACCAAATTCTGGGCATGTACAAAATGTGCTCTCTTCCCCAATTGGCAAGTTTTGTACATCTTCAACAAACAACAGTTGAACACTGAAGAAATGCTTTTCATTTTGGGGATCTTGAATAAAAGTCTGTCGTTGAAGGAAATAAAATACAATGCTTTTTGAAACAAGTAGGACCCAGATTTGAAAAACAGTATTTATTTTACATATCCTATCATCAAGGGCTAGAAGTGGATTGTGCAGGATGCTGAAAAAGAAAGGAGGATGAAAGGAAAAAAAAATACACCATTGTATGAAAAATCTTGCTTAGGTAGCTTTTCCTATCTCGGATTTTAGCATAATAACAGAGCCGAGTTTCTAAGAAACCAATAATTTATAAGCACAGAAAATCCAGTGTTGGCAGGTGATGCCACCAATGGCCAAAATCCAAACTGTCCTTCAGAATAATCAGCTAGGAATGATAAATCGTAATAATAATTTTAAAAAAAAACCAATAATTTGCAAGCACAGAGAATCCAGGCACAGTTTTGGCAAGTGATGCCACCAAAGGCCCAAACCCAAACTATCCATCAGAATCATCAACTAGGATTATCGTTTGGATTATTGCAGTGTGCCCCACAAGGGGCTGCCCTTGAAAGCTATAAATTTGCAAGCTGAATAGGAAGATGGCGTCAGTTTAGATTCCTGTTCTTTCAAGACCACTCAGAAGCTACAGACGGTCCAGAATGGGGCAGCGCAAGTCTTTATGGACACAACTTTATAACCACAACACTTCCATTGTTGAGTTGCACTGACTCCAAGTAGGCCAGCTTATCTGTAGGACCACCTATCTCCAATTATCTGTGCTCACCCCACAGGTTTGTCCAGGATTGCTAATTTCGGAGTCCTATCTAGCCAAGTGTGTTCAGGGATGTACTATAAAAAGTAGGCCTTCTCTGTTGGTGCACTTTCCCCATAGAACAACACCCCTCCCTCCTGAGATTCAGGTGGCCTGATCCTTCTGGCCTTTGGAAAAGTCTTTGAGATCTGGTTTTTCTCTGGCCCTGAGGCAGGATGTTGTATGAACCATGAAGAGTGCACACCAGAACAACTAGAGACAAGAACAGTTTTTTTCCCGAAAGCCATCACTCTGCTAAACAAATAATTCCCTCAACACTGTTCAACTATTTACGAAGTGTGCACTACTATTACTGTTAATTTTCTCATCACTCCTTATCACCCACCCCCTCCCACTTGTGACTGTAACTTTGTCGCTTGTATCCTTACGATTTATAATGACTGTTTCCTGGTATGATTTGATTGTTGATTGTGCCCTATGACTATCATTAAGTGTACATTATGATTCTTGATTCTTAATGAATGTACCTTTTCTTTATGTATACTGGGAGTATTTACACCAAGACAAATTCCTTGTGTGTCCAATCACACTTGGCCAATAAAGAATTCTATTCTATTCTAAAAACAAAAACAAAAAAGAGGAGCCCTGGTGGCGCAGTGATTAGGATGCAGTATTGTAGGTTAACTCTGCCTAATGCCATGCATTTGATCCTGACTAGCTCAAAGTTGACTCAGTTTTCCATCCTTCTGAGCAGTGGTGGTATGCCACTGGTTTGGACTGGTTTGGCTGAACTGGTAGTAAAAAACCCGCCGAGGATCACCTGAGAGGAGAAAAGTGTAGGATTGGCCCTCCCACCGGCCCCTGTGCTTTTCTCTTCTTTATCCTTTCAGCTGATTGGCACTGCAGGCCTCAGCTGGTGTGGGGAAAGCTGCACGCGTGTGTTAGGTGCACCCTCACGCACGATCACTGAACCGGTAGTGCAACAGGCACCACTGCTGCTTCTGAGGCCAGTAAAAATGAGTGCTCTAAAGCACTATGGGACAGTATATCAGTCTAAGGGTTATTGCTATTGCTGTTAATATGCAATATGTGGATTAATGTCCTCTGTGCAATTGATGTTGATCATGACTTTATGGCTGATAATGGCAACAGATTACTGTCCTCTGTGCAATATGTTGATCATGACTGTATGGCTGACAATGGCAACAGATTACTGTCCTCTGTGCAATATGTGCCTTTGCTGATGTTTGTGTATTCCAATGATTTTTTTTAACCCCTTAGCTACCTAGAGTTGCTCTGCAAAAGGGTAGAACACTTAATAAATCAATCATTAATCAACTTTTATTCTGCCAGAGACAGTACAGGAAACTGCTCAAGTAGTATGTGTAAAACATTAGCAGTCCAGAGAATCTGCTAAAAACCAACTTAAGCAGCTTTCCAAATGCCTGGAAGGCCTCAGCTGTCAATCAGAATTCAGTGAGATGGGGCCTATCTTTTCAGGGCCCATGAGCACATCTGGAATTTGGAATGCAGCGAGTGGCGGCTCCCACAAGAATGACAGATGAAATGCGGATTGTGGATAGATATAATGTGGAATGGCTGCTAGTGAATTAAAGCAAAACTCATTCAAATTCATTCTCAAGTTTTAAAATCACTGGTGGTTGTTAAGAAAGCCTCTCTCTCTCTCTGTGTGTGTGTGTGTGTGTGTGTCTGTCTGTCTTTCTCTTTCTCTGTGTCTGTCTGTCTCTTTCTTTCTCTCATGTGTGTGTATGTGTGAGGGAGAGACAGACAGAGAGACACAGAGAGAGAGACAGAGACACACACACAGAGAGAGACAGAGAGAGATTATCCTGCATACTACAGAGGATTGGTCCTTTCCAAGTTGACAATTTTGTTATTCTCTAAATTGTTTCCTGCCACATCCTGCCTTTGACACCTCTTCAGCTTATTTCCTTATTTGGGTGAAGAACCTGAAGAAACAAATTTCATTTCTAATTTTCTGAGAATGCCCAGAAGGAAAATCTTTCTAGGGCCCAAGACATGTTTTTGTTTTTTGTTTTTTGAAATAATGGAGATGCTAGATGTCAGCCCTGTACAGGATGCCAGCTTGCTTTTTAAAATAATAATAATAATTGATTGATTGTATCCTGTTTTCGTGGTTGCTATTCTGGGAAGTTCAGGATAGTATCTATAAGGTCTTCCATAATTTTATCCCTGTGAAAATAGAAGCCTGAGGAATCACAGCATTCTTCTCAAGGATAAAATTAGGGGGAAACTGAAATTTGGAAGCACCCAATTTTTTACTTTGACCCAAGTTTTAAGGGGCAACTGGGCTGTTCTCTCTGCTGCCTGTAGGTGGTGCCACAGCAACACTTTCTTAGCAATTGATGGCTACTCTATCCCTGCCTCTATTGGGGAAAGTTTTTAATAAAGTCTATCCTGCAATTTTCTTCAAAATTAATCTCTGGTTTAAACCATTCAGATGCCACCGTTAATTTGGAAAGATGGTCCCTGGAATTGCATGCTGTGCAAACCTGAACTTTCCCCTTAGGAGAGAGCATAGTTTTTAGAATCTGTCTTATAGATGAATGCAATCTGTGCTTGTTCTGGGTATTACAAGATTACGGAGGAGAAAATGGACATAAGGTGATTAAAAAAAACATCTTGCTACCTTACTTAGTTCATTCAGATCACAGGCTGCAAACATAATTGAACAATAATTGTCAGGCTCCAAAATCCAAAGACAAGTTGTATTCCTTCTAAGCAATTTCCTTTAGTGTTAGAATAAAAAAATCTTGTCACTTTGAATGTACACTAATCAGCACACATTAAAATGAAATCTTATTGCATACAGCTCTCAAAGGGTCTCTACCTCCAATATATTGGGAAGGTGGTCCCTGCAATTGCATGCTGTGTACATAAACATAACACAATAAATAAATACAAAATTATGTACATGTATTATATGACAGACAGAAACAACCCAGTCTAGTTCGGATGTATACATGTACATGCGAGAAAAATGAATCTTGCAAATTTACCAGACGGATGGCATTTGGAGCAAAACTGTTACAGAATCTGGTAGTCCTGCTAGAAATACTCTGAAACCTCCTCCAAGAGGAGACCAACAGAAACAGACTTTACTGTTTGTCATCTATAGACAGAAATCTTGCCAAACTAAAACAATCACTTACATCACTAAAATATATAATACTTTGAGAACTTCTAGGGACTTCCACCCAACCAACATATGTAAACTTTGCTGTCTCTTGGTCCTCTGGAATGGAGCTTGTCCCTCCTGGGAATCCAGACTGCATTCCACCACAATAATGTCCCAAAGGTGCTTTACTCAAAAGGGCAAGTGGACTTCCTTTGGGTTTTTTTTTTGAAAAACATTTTGCTTGTCATCCAAGAAGCTTCTTTAGTTCTGAAGTTCAGTTTGGAACTGAAGAAGCTTCTTGGATGAGAAGAGAAATATTTTTCAAAGAGAAAAACCAAGAAAGTCTAGTTGCCTTTCTGGAAAAAGCACTTTTGGGACAAAAAAGACCTGGATGATTGACAATCTCCACAGACGTTCCAACACAATCACTGCATTCCCACACCATGTTGGACTTGGGTTAAGCAACTCGCTTCCAGTGTTCACATAAAATGCTATCTCCAGAGAAATCAATTGTATGATGATGTTTCCATGATGATCGCAGTCACATCACATGCTAAGAGAATGGTGGGCTTTCTACAATACAATGAACATATCCTACCATGCAATGAACAATAGCTACCAAATTCCAATTTGCCCAAATCCAGCATGTGGCGAAACTCAACTTGTCTGAAGTTACAAATTTAGCCTTCTCAGTCTACCCATTTTAACCAAGTTGAGTTCTGTAACCTCAGCCAGTCAGTCGGGAAGGTGAATTTTCACTCCTGAGTTTTTTTCCTGTAGGTTACTCATGAACAAGGATGTGTGTATCTTTGGATGCAAAAATAAGGGTTGTTCCATCCACTTAGGAAGACAGCCTGATTTGCATTTTAATATATGCAGCCAAGGACATCCTGTTATGTACCTGCTAGGCTGAAGCTTGTTTGAACATCTGAACCTATTAGACAGCAACAAGCAAAAAACTCAAGAGAGGGCTTCCGTAGAATTCAAAACATATTTTATTTATTAACCTGATCTTCTTCTGCCAAACGCATCGCCTTTATCTTTCATAGCAAATGAGTTTCCCTGCAGCCCTCCTTTGTTTGAACAAACTGTCTGGATGTGGAGAAGAATTAGGATTTTCTTCTTCTTTTTTTTAAAAAAAGTCTGTTTCGTTGTGTTGTGTTACCCACTGCACAGTTCTTGAATCAAATAAGAAGAGGTTACATGCTCAAGAAAGGTATTTACACCCCAGATTTGAAATTCTGGCCACTGTGTCTCAGTGGTCATGAGATCACACATTGGGTGCTTGGAAACCCATATTTGCAGCTTTCCTTGGTCACATGACCAAAATTTATGGTGTATTGTTGTTGTTCTTTTTTTTTTGCCAGAAACTGGTGTTCACTTCCAATTTCCAGGCACCCCTCAAAAAAACAAAAAGTCCATTGTGGACATTCATACAACAATTTTGACATTCATTTAATGACGGCCACAAAAAGTAGTAAAATTGTCATGGGATGACCAGCTTAATGATTGGCATGGGCTCAGTTATGGTTGTAAAATGAGGATTATCTCTGCAAGAAACAATTGAGCTGGCAGGGAATGACCCGAACTGGATAGTTAGAATGGATTCAACCGCAAGCCATGGTTTGAACAAAAATGGAAGCACCAAATTTAACTTCTTGCCTCAGATGTGGAAATGGAATAAAGGGAATTCATCATCTGATGAAAAAATGGTTTAGATCAGGGGTGAAGAAAAATGGCCTCTTTACGACTTGTGGACTTCAACTCCCAGAATTCCTGAGCCAGTCATGCTGGCCCAGGAATTCTGGGAGTTGAAGTCCAGAAGTCATAAAGGGGCTATTGTCCCTCATCTCTGGTGAACTGGATTTGCCCTTTCCTTACAGAGAAAAAGTTCCGGACTCACCTTGTCTTTGTTGACTTTGATCTTACGAGGAACAGGAATATACGTGCTGTCAAAAAAGAAAAAAGAAATATAGTCCAGTCAGCCAAAACTCACAATGCCCTATTTCGATATACAAAAAAAGCACTGTTAATTCTAAATTTAGTATTCCAACAATGCTGCCTAGAAACCAAATCAAAGATAAAAACAAGGATTTGAAAAATACATGTAGTCCTTAACTTATGATCAAAACTGAGTCCAGAATTAGTCATGTCATGAAGCGGTTGCTGTTTTTAAGCAAGGCAGCCATGCAATTCCAGCTTTCCCTGTTGCAGTCATTCTGTGGAACATGGTGTGCCTCAGGTAGTGGGGCTGCTTAATTGAATGGTCATAAGTTGAGAACTGTCTGTATAATGAAGTTGACTTCTCACAACCCCCCCCCCCCTTTAAACCTGCACACAAGAGGAACAAAATCTTAAGGTGAGCACAGATCGGCAGTTCATATCTGTAGAATAAAATAAAATAGAATAGAATAGAACAGAACAGTAATAGAACAGAATAGGAATAGGAATAGAATAGAATAGAACAGAACAGAATAGCAATAGAATTCTTTATTGGCCAAGTGTGATTGGACACACAAAGAATTTGTCTTGGTGCAAATGCTCTCAGTGTACATAAAAGAAAACATATATTCGTCAAGAGTCAAGAATCATCAGGTACAACACTTAATGATAGTCATATACAATTAGCAATCAAATAATACTAGGAAACAGTCAATATAAATCGTTAGGATACAAGCGACAAAGTTACAGTCACAAGTGGGAGGGGATGAGTGATAAGGAGTGATGAGAAGATTTCCAGTAATACTAGTGCAGACTTTGTAAATAGTTGGACAGTGTTGAGGGAATTATTTATTTAGCAGAGTGGTGGCATTCGGGGGGGGGAAACTGTCCTTGTGTCTAGTTGTTCTGGTGTGCAGTGCTCTATAGCGTCGTTTTGAGGGGATGCAATCTATCTCCAGTTTCTATCTCCAACCCCTTCAACTACAACTCCTATAGTTCCCAGCCACTAATTCAATTTGTATTCCCTTTCACAAAAGTGTTCTTTGCATTCTGGCATAGCTGAAACTCTTCCATATCTGCACTACTCTCCTTTAAAAGGAAGCTAATCCCTTCTTTAAAAGGCAACTAATCCTTTCCAGTCCCCCTCCTTAGTTTTAAAATAAAATCTTGGCCGTTCTGTTTTGCCCTTTATCCTATTCCCAGAAGTTCATTTTGCTTTTGTTCTTCCTTAAAGTGATTTACAGTCCTTCGATCTTTGTGCCAACTTACGACACGCTGCTGTTTTCAGTTCCTACAGCTTCCGTAAAGAAGGGGTTCAAAGTGGAGGAAGAGGGGCACCCTCTTCTCCATCCAGACAAGGAAACGTGGCAAATTTTGGACAGTGAAGCATGAGAGAAAGCAGCACACAGCCCGAAATGCAGTGTTTCTCAACCTTGGTGACTTCCAGATGTCTGGACTTCAACTCCCAGAATTCCCCAGTCATGCGCAAAACCTAGTCACCAAACCGGTAGTAACACCGGTTGAATCCCACCCCTGGCCGGATGCCCTTCCTGTCACCAATGCAGAGTTTTGTTCAGCAGATATATTTTCATTGTGCCCAGAGAGAGAAATATCTGTCTCTTCCTAGGATCAAACTCATAGCCTCCTGATTGTGAGGTGAGAACTCCACTTCTAGGCCACCGCACCACTCCTCACTTAGTGACAGAAATGTTGGGCTCAGTTGGGGTCGTACATTGAGGACTACCTGTATTTACAACGGTTACAGTGGCCCATGGTTGTGTGACTGCCACCTGCAACCTTCCTTGCTGGTTTCCAACAAGCAAAATCAATAGAGAAAGCTGGCACTTTGCTTAGCAACAGAAATTCTAATTCCAAAAGTGCTCATAATTTGAGAGCTGCTTGTTATGTTTCTCCACAACTCTCCTTTCGAGTTAAACTGTAGTTAAACTACAATCAAGGACAGTTATTGCCCTGGCTTCCAGTTTCCCAACTGTTCCCACTCCGAAATACATGCAGCTCACTGGTAGGGGGTGTGCATAAGCGCACCAACGTGCCTACTGTCCCTGTCCTATTGTTTTTTCTTATATGTATCCATTTCATGTGTTCATAACTATGTTTATACTTATACCTGTTATCTTATAATTGCTTGACAAAATAAAATAAAATAAAATAAATATTCCTCCTATTTGATTTATTCCTTTAGAAAAGTTAGTCACTGCACACACACTCCCTTAGTGATGTTGGCTAGATTACAAGATACAATGAAAACAGCTATAAAAGTAGCAGTAAACCTAATGTACATAAACACAAAAGCTGCAGAAAGCAACATTAAAAGGCCTGGAAAAATATGTGAGTTTTGCGCTTCCTCATAAAACTGTGACAAAGGAGAGGTACGCTTTTATTGCAATAATATAGATCCCCTCCTTGGAAACATTCCAATTGGCCATTGATATCCATAATAATTCTAGTGAAATTGGTATAAACAATGTAGTCTAAGCAATTTTTAAGATTAACTTAGGAAAAATTGCCAATTTTGGTGATTGGGACCACCTGTTAACTGTCTTGTTTTAGTAGATAGATAGTAGGTCAAATTGCTTGACTGATGATAAGTTTTCTACAATTGTGATTTCTTTCTAATGTTATATAGCGATTATATAAATATAGAGGTAGGCATTTATAGATTGGCGACTTGTTCTAAATAAATAAATTTATTAATGTTCAACCAGAGGGGACATTTTGTCTGTATGCTTGATATTTTGTTTTTCAACACTTTTTTTTGTCTCTGTTTTTGTATTGTAATTCTTTTTTTCTTCTTTTGCTCTGTATTTTAACCTTGGAAATAAATAAAAAAATATAGAAACAAAGTAACAGGAAAAATTGCCAAGGAAATGTTGTCAATGGACTTTGAATAAACAATAAAAGAACAAACAATGAAGACATAATATTTCCTTGTTTGGTCAGGAGATATGGACTTCACAAACGATGAAAACTTTGCAGCTTACCAAATCTTTCACACATGAGTGGTGCCACTGTCTCAAAAACACAGCTTTGGATCTTACAAGGAAGAAAAATTTAAAACCTTCTATTGTGATATGTACAGAATAACCCTTGAGTAACAAGGATATGCACATTGAAACGTTTATGAGAATACTTATGAATAATTATTCAGTCATACACAGATGCACTAAATTGAGTTAAAGTTTACTTTAAGAAATAGGACAGTTCAATAAACAGTCCAGGTCATATAAACTTTACAGTCCAAAGAATATCCAATTACAAAGTCTTTTTACTGGTTGCCTTTGTCATTTCCAGTAAACAAAAATATCAAAGTATAAGCACAGCATAAATACAACAGAGTCTCAGATAGCAACAGAATGTCAGAGATACAGAATGTCAGAGAGAGCAAGCCATGATCTCTAGCTCCCTCTTATGGCAATTCACAATACAATCAACCAATCGGAACATAGTACAAATCAATACAGTAACTTTGTCTTAAAGCTACAAACATACATTGCTGGTTTATATACTGCCAACCCAACTAATTGGTGGACAGATTCCTAACACCTTCTCTTATACAATTTAGATCCCAATATCCTTGCCCTGAAATGATCTTTTGCTGAGTAGACAAACTCCAATACATATTAATATCATGTTGTGCACAATACAAAAGTGTTTCCTGGACAACAAGGAAGAAATGCTGTGATTCCATTGTTCCCACCAAGATTGTGCGTGCTTATACAGAGGTGTGTTTTTTCATATAAAATCTGTTAAGAAATGTTATTTCCCAGTGTTGGCATTAAGCTAATGGCTGTCCTAGCTTAGCCTCTTGGTGTTATGGAGAATAAAAGATATTCAAGGGAAATCACAGGAAATATCTATCTGTCTGTCTGTCTGTCTGTCTATCTATCTATCTATCTATCTATCTATCTATCTATCTATCTATCTATCTATCTTTCTATCTATCTATCTATCTATCTATCTATCTATCTATCTATCTATCTATCTATCTATCCATCCATCCATCCATCCATCCATCCATCCATCCATCTATCTATACATTTTCATGTAACACAGAACTTATTAATATAAGACAGCTTAAAAGGGGAATTTTCTTCATTTGTTGGTTAGATATTAACAGTGTTCTCTTATCAAGGACAGAACAAATAAGAGAAGGCTGGCCAGAATTCCTTTGAAAATGTTTTGCTTTTTTTTCCCTTTGATACTATCTTTATAAAATTTTATTAAGATAGACTTGGTATGACTTTATGATTTGCTATAAAATAAATTAAGTAAACTATAGTTATCTTGTTAAAGTATGAATCAATAAAATTATAGTCAAATGATTGTTTAATAATGATATCAGGCTATATAATTGTTGATTGATAATATGAGCTATTATGTAATATAACTACAATGGAGACTATGAAATGGATGCACAAAAAGAAGTGGTAAACCAACTGACACAGTGTCTGTAAACTCATGAAGGAAAGGATGATGTTTTTATGTTTTATGTGTTTTTGTTTGTTGTTAAAATTAATAAAACTGTTTTCAAAAAAAAGAAAGAAAATGTTTTGCTTTCTTAGTTGAACTTCTGATTTTTGAAAAGTCCAAAAGGCAGTGGTGGTCATTAGAGTAGCAGCTTTTGAGAAGTGTTTAACGATCACCTGTCATACTGGTAGAACAGAACAGAACAGAATGGAATGGAACAGAACAGAACAGAGTAGAATAGAGTAGAAAATGAATAGAAGTAAAGTAGAGTAGAAGAGAATAACAGAGTTGGAAGGGACCTTGGAGGTCTTTTAGTCCAACCCCCTGCTTAGGCAGGAAACCCTACACCGCTTCAGACAAATGGTTATCCAATCTCTTCTTAAAAACTTCCAGTGTTGGAGCATTTACAACTATATACAAGAATATTTGTAGCTCAGGGTTGAACTTTTGTTTAGATAGCAGGACAGGCGGGGTCCTTGGCGTTCTCTAAGCTTGGTGGTTTTCTTGCAGACGTTTCACTACCAAACTAGATAACATCATCAGTGCTATTGACCTCCCCGCTTTCCTAAGCGGCCTGTAGCGCACCAATCGTGCCTACCATCCCTGTCCTATTGTTTCTTTTTATTTTACTTATACGTATCCATCTCATGTATTCAAAACTATGTTTATACTTATACCTGTTATCTTGTAAGCGATTGACAAATCAAATAAATAAATAAAATAAAAATAAACGATGAAACGTCTGCAAGAAAGCCATTAAAGTCAGACAGCAACAAGGACCCCACCTGTCATATTATCTAAAGAAAAGTCCAGGTACAGAGGCTATATAGGCACCTCTATACATAAGATATGGGTCTTCTTTTGGTGGCTTTGGGCATCCAATTGTCTACTATCTGAAGCAGTACACTGGGCCAATGAGATGCATTGGGATAATCTAGTATCTTCTACCTTTGAGATTTGGTTACCTGCTTGGTCTATTCCTTGGTGGATTTAGTGATGAATATGCTGGCTCTCAAAAGAATGCTGAAGCTACATTTTGCAGCTACTGTATTTAAGTCAGTAGTTTTTGGATTATCATCAATGCATGGCAACAAATCCAACTTCCACAAGATTTAGTCTGAGCTCTTGCATTTATGGTAACTATGGTAACTTGTTTTACTCTGGAGGCCAAGGGTACCAAGATTGCCTTCTCTTAGTGGGATTCTGTTGAAGGACACCAGAAGAACATTAGTTAGTGAAGGACACTAACTGGCCTTTTCTTCTTCTGTTAAATCTATCATGTCACCTTCTTATTAACTAGGCTTGTAGGTAGCTGGAAGGTATGTGATTAACAATCTCTGGAAATTTGGAGAATGTTAGGTGAAATGAGGAACATGAAGATGTCTCCAGCTGAAAGTGTTGTTTTCTAAATGCCTTATCAGTCCATTTACAAGGTGGCTTATATTTTTCTAGTTAGGAATATGGTTTAAGCCACAACAAAAACCATTACTACCAACCTGCATTCCACCAAGGACCTGTATACTGCACAGAGTCCAAAAGAGGGCTGTAAAAATATTTACCGACTCTTCATATCCTGTCAGCTTTGGAATTCCTATTAAAAGCTGCCACACAGATATGGAGGATGGAAGCGGGGGCTGTTGTTATTTGAGTAATTTTCAGTAGACATAACAGATACGTAAGACTATCAAGGTCATTCTTTATGGCGCAGCAAGAATTGTAGTTGAAGGGTGATTGGTTCACGTGATTGATGATGTGGGAGAAAAGGGCTGGGTGTCGATTGAGTATTGTGAACCAAATATCTTTGATTGAAACTTCCTAGTAAAAAATTGGGACCTAAATTCTTAGGTCCATTCCCAATTTCAAAAATAATCAATCCGGTCATGGTCCAATTAACTCTTCCATGACTATTAGGGAAAACTCACCTAGTGTCCCACAGTAGTTTATTAAAACCAGCTAGTACACCAATGATAAGATAATTTTCCAAGTGGGGACACCTGTCAGCTTTGGAATCCCTATTAAAAGCTGCCACATAGATACAGAGGATGGAAGGTGGGGCTGTTGTTATTTGAGTAATTTTCAGTAGGCATAACAGATACGTAAGACTATCAAGGTCATTCTTTATGGTGCAGCAAGAATTGTAGTTGAAGGGTGATTGGTTCACGTGATTGATGATGTGGGAGAAAAGGGGTGTGTGTTGATTGAGTATTGTGGGAGGTCTGGGGGGAACCTTTAGTTTCTAAATCTCACAGATGTGCCAAGTTTTTGTTTTAATAAAGCACTTTGAGAATATGCCTGTCTCAGAGTTACTGATTGAGCTGAACAATTTCTGGAACCCTCACATCCCGGACACAAACTGTTTCAACTCCTATCCTCAAAACGATGCTATAGAGCCCTGCACACCAGAACAACTAGACACAAGGACAGTTTTTCCCCAAACGCCATCACTCTGCTAAACAAATAATTCCCTCAACACTGTCCAACTATTCACAAAGTCTGCACTACTATTACTATTAATCTTCTCATCACTTCTTATCACCCATCCCCTCCCACTTGTGACTGTATGACTGTAACTTTGTTGCTTGTATCCTTATGATTTATATTGACTGTTTCCTAGTATGATTAGATTGTTTATTGTACCCTATGACTGTTATTATATGTTGTACCTGATGATTCTTGACTCTTGATAAATGTATCTTTTCTTTTATGTACACTGAGAGCTGTCCAATCACACTTGGCCAATAAAGAATTCTATTCTATTCTATTCTATTCTATTCTATTCTATTCTATTCTATTCTATTCTATTCTATTCTATTCTATTCTATTCTATTCTGTTGCTATTCTATTCTATTCTCTGATGTCTGAATGACCTGAAGGGGAAAAAAAAACCCAATGTGAAGAAGAATCAAGTTATTGGGTTGGCCAAGTCTTCTTGTTCCTCAGATCTACTTACTGATCGATGGTGCCATCTGTGAGGGCGCTGATGATCCAACGCAGGTCTAAGATTTTGAAGGGGATGAGAATCATGCTGACCGTCTCCCGTAGTTCTTGATAGCTTTCCGGGTAGACAAAATGATGAGTTGTTTTGCTGCCGACGTCTGACTCGAAGCCCCTTGTTGGGGCTTTGTTCATTCTTTAGGGAAAAAGGGGGGAAAAATAAAAGAAGAGGAATGAGAAGAAGTATCAGTCAATGAGAAGAGAAACATTCATATTTTGGCTAATATCTTGACTTATGGCCACAATTGAGGCCAACGTTTCTGTTAAGCAAGATAGCTGTTCAGTGAATTTTGGCCTATTTTATGACCTTTCTTGCCACAGATGCCAAGTGGACCACTGCAGTTGTCAGTTAAATCACGGTTGTTAAATGAATCTGGCCTTCCCATTGACTTGAATGATTAGAAGATTTGCAAAAGGCGATCGTGTGACTCCAAGACACTCCTTCTGTCATAAATATGACTCGGGTGCCAAACGTCTGGACTTTGATCTACATGGAGCTGCCCTTAAAGAGCACCTGGAAGCTTCAGTTGGTGCAAAATGCAGCGGCCCACATTGTTTTTGGGGAGATCTTGGTGTGAGAGGGATCTTGGAATCTTAGTGTGCAACCAGTTAAATATGAGCCAACAGTGTATGGCAGCAGTCAAAAAAGCCAATGCAATCCTAAATTGCATTAACAGAGGAATACAATCAAGATCAAGGAAGGTACTAATACCACTCTATAAAGCCTTAGTAAGACCACACCTAGAGTACTGCATCAAGTTTTGATCACCACACTATAAAAAAATATGTTGAGACTCTAGAAAGAGTGCAGAGAAGAACAACCAGAATGATTAGGGGACCGGAGGCTAAAACATACAATGAACGTTTGCAGGAACTGGGCATGGCTAGTCTAGTGAAGAGAAGGAGCAGGGGAGACATGATAGCAGTGTTCCAATATTTGAGGGGCTGCCACAGAGAGGAGGGGGGTCAAGCTATTCTCCAAAGCACCTGAAGGCCAGACAAGGAATAATGGATGGAAACTGATTAATGAGAGATTCAACCTAAGAAATTAGAAATTTTCAGATAGTGAGAACAATCAACCAATGGAACTTCAATGCCTTCAGAAGTTGTGAGAGCTTCATCACTGGAGGCCTTAAAGAAAAGACTTGACTGCCATTTGTCAAAAATGGTGTTCGGCCTCCTGCTGGTTGTCACCTTTAAAGCCCTTCATGGCATGGAACAGGGTTATCTGAGGGGACCGTCTCTTGCCAGTCACATCTACTTGACCCACTAAAGTAGGAAGGCAAGGATTGTTGCAGGTCCCATCCCCTAGGGAGGTACACCTGGTGGGATCCAGAAGAAGGGCCTTCTCTATGGTGGCTCCCTGTCTCTAGAGCGTCATTCCCTCAGAGATTAGACTGGCCACCACTCTAGCATTCTTCTGAAAGGCCCTGAAAACCTGGTTCTGCCAGCAGGCCTGGGGAACCCGGAGCGGGATGGAGCCCATTAAATGGTTAGTATGAATATGTGCTGTCGCCAGGGTGTGTGTGTATATGGAGGATTATTATTTTATTATTTTATTTTTTATTTATTTCCTTTATATGATGTTTTTACATCTTAGTAAGTCACCTTGAATCACCATATGTGAGTAGGAGACAATATAATTTTTTTTATAAATAAATAAAATCAGGGAGATGCTATCCAGGGGTTTTAAGTGTGGAAAACAGTCAAAAGTCACTTTTTTCAATGCCACTGTAGCAATTGCAATAGCACTTAGACTTACATACTGTTTCATAGTATTTTACAGCCCCCTCTAAGTGGTTTGCAGAGTCAGCCTCCTGCCCCCAACAATCTGGGTCCTCATTTTACCCACTTTGGAAGGGTGGAAGACTAAGTCCACCGTGAACCTGGTGAGAATCAAACTGCTGGCAGCTGGCAGTCAGCAGATATAGCCAGCAGTGCGGCTGAAACTTTGAACAGTCACTAAACAAATAATCGTAAGTCAATGTCTATGCATGTCTCTTGATTTGAAGCTCAAGGATGTGGCTCTCATTTGAAGCTGTAGTTAGACAAGGTCATTTCCTATAAGCTGCTGTAACTTGTTCAAATAAAAGGAGAACAATAGTGATGAAGCAGAATTCTTTGTACAGAAGGCATGTCGTGTCCCTGCGATGTGAAGAAAAACATTATTCATCGGGGATTAGACAAATCCTTCTCTCTCTCTCTCTCTTTCTTTTTCTCTCTTTTTCTCCCTCTCTTTTTCCCTTTCTCTCTCTCTCTCTTTCTCTCTCCCTTTGGGTGTTGGACTAGGATTACTCAGGTTCCAAGCCAACTTTAGCTATGAAATGAGGTGATTTTGGACCAGTCCCCCCTCTCCTTCTCTCTCTCTCTCCTTCTCCCTCCTCTCTCTCTCTCTCTCCAGCTTATCTTTCAGATTTGTGAGGTGATTTTGGGCCAGCCCTTCCCCCCCCTCTCTCCAGGAGAAATTACTTGAACCCAGAGCCTTGTAGTTATCCTGTTTTCCCCAAAATATGACCTACCCTGAAAGTAAGTCCTAACTTGATTTTTACACATGTGCCCAATATAAGCCCAACCCACTAAAATAAGCCCTAATGAAGATCCTGTCCACTCCAGAAATTAAGCTAGGGTGGGGATGGGGGTGGTGGAGCTGCCCTACTACTTAACTTTGGACAGTTCCGGCCAGGCCTCACACAACCCGACACCTGCCTTGCCAGCCCATTTCTTCTGCAGCCGGCAAGGCTGGCAAGGCTTTCCTGAAGGCCTCTGTAGCTGATAACAAAGCTCTGGATCGATCCGGAGCTCTGTTATCAATTGCAGAGGCCTTCAGGAAAGCCTTGCTGGCTGCAGAAGAAGTTCCTGAAGGCCTCTGACAGCAAAAAGGAGGCTGGGGGCGATGCACGCAAGTGAGGTTAGTCAGTGGCTGACCTCCTCCCGAAAATAAGACCTGGTATGCCTTTTTTGGTGGCAAAAAATATAAGAGAGGGTCTTGTTTTAGGGAAAACATGGTACTTACCTAAACACAAGGTCATGAGCATCAATCTCTTCGCCGTACTGTGATTGCCGAAGATTCCCTGAATTTCCTATAACAGCACACCTCCGACACCGTGAGCTGTTCCTGCCCAAAAAGTGATCCCAGTTTCCTGGAATGAGTCTAAAGAGTTCCTGGACAGTCTCATTCATGGTCTTGGGACTTCTCTCTCCCTGGAGTTTCTGTAGGGAAGATTGGGGGGAATCACTCCGACATTCTGAATAGTTTGAAGACCCAGAAGTCAGAAGGCATCCAGTGACAAAGGCTAAGCTCTTCAGAAAGACTTCTGGCTGAGATGAGCTATGCTCATATGATCCGTAAGCCCAGGGTGTCTCCAAATTTGGCAACTTTAAGACTTGTGAGCTTCAACACCCAGAATTCCTCAGCCAACCATGCTGGCCTGGGGAATTCTGGGAGTTGAATTCTACAAGTCTTAAAATTTCCAAGTTTGGAGTCCCCTGCACAAGAACATGGAATTTGTTGGTCATCTACCTCTCTGTATCACTAGAAACTCAGCTTGCCATGTACAACATCCTTAAGATTATTGCTGCCCTCTTTTATAGGTAGAGTAGCATTCCACTTACGGTGCTCATCTGGGGTATCATTGGAGTGAATCTAAAACCTGTACTCCCTACTCCCTTTTCCGTACCTCAACATGGCCCAACCTTTGCCACAGAGCCCTCTGTATCCCATTAATGGAACCCATCATAATTACAATCCAAGCTTTCAGCTAATGAATCATGTTAATGGTTTCACTGAAATTTACAAAGCTGTGTCTTTCCACTATAAATCTGGTTTAAGCCATGATTTGTTTGGTTTAGGTCATTATGAACTTAGCCACAATGGTTGTCCCAAAAGTGCTTTTTCAGGAGGCAACTGGACTTTTTGGTTTTTTTTTTCTTTTGAAGATGTTTCACTTCTCACTCAAGAAGCTTCTTCAGCTCTGACAGGACAGTGGGGGGTGGAAGGATTTATATAGCACTACTCGGGTGACTCTGAAGACACAGATAAACCTCTAAGTGCTCAATGACCATCCAAAACAGAGGTCTCCAACCTTGGCAACTTTAAATCTGGCTGACTTCAACTTCCAGAATTCCTCAGCCAACAAAGGTGGCTGGGGAATTCTGGGAGTTGAAGTCCTTTAAAACAAGGGTCTTTAAACTTGGCAAGTTTAAGACTTGGGGACTTCAACTCCCAGAATTCCTGAGTTAACATGACTGGAGGAGTTTGAAGACCCCTGCTCTAAAAGTATGCAAATAACCAGCTGTCTGCAAGGAATGTAAATCCTTCCGTTCCCCACTATCCTGTCAGAGCTGAAGAAACTTCTTGGATGAGAAGCAAAACATCTTCAAAAACAAACAAACAAGGAATTCCAGTTGTCTCCTGAAAAAAAAAAAAGCACCTTTGGGACAACCATGATCTGGATGACTGAGAATCTCTACAGACTTTTAGCCACAATGGTATATACAGATTATTAAATATACTTTAACATCATTTGCCCAAAACAGGATAGAATAAAACCAGCATTTTTTTCTTGAATATACAGTGTCCAAGTTCTGGCTGTTACTTCCCTCTTTGCTTTCTCAGTTTCTTGCAATGATTTATTTATAAGCAAACATGTTTTCGGAAGTTATTGGGTGTTTTCTTCCCCTCAAACCCAATTATAATTGAAAATCAGAACTGAATCAGCACGTCAAACTAAAGACCATAAAGACCCCGTCTCTGCCTTCAGTGGTATTGATCCTGTGAGAGGGTTGGGAAGCTTTTTGCTTATCTGGATCAATTTAATAAGCATCCCCGAATGTTTGAGAGCTCTGTCTGCCAGAAACTTTTCAAGGACAGATTAGTTAAGAAGTGGGGTATCACCATAGATGCCAACTCATTTTGGACAATACAAAGGCATGTACCTCCTGTCTTTCCAATAAGAGCAAGTAAATAAGGAACAACGCAATGCTTCTTGGGCAAAATGTCATAAAACTCGTGAATAGAGTGCCAATAGAAATTAATATTTATACCTCAGGATTGGACATGTGGAGTCCTTAGTGCCAGAAGTTGGATCCTACCTGTTCCACTACTGGTTTGGTGATGCACGCGCCCACCTAACATGCGTGCGCAGATTTCCCCATACCCGCTGAGGCCTGCAGTGCCAATCAGCTGAGAGGAAAAAGAAGAGAGAAGTGCAGAAGTGGGTGGGAGGGCCAATCCTATTCTTGGTTTTCTCTTCTTTTTCCTCTCAGTTGATTGTCTTCTCAGCTGATCGTGGGAGGCTTTTTTTTTTTTACTACCAGTTCGGTTGAACCAGTCCAAACTGGTAGCATACCACCACTGCTTAGTGCTCTCTGAGCGTGCGTGTTTCCTTGCAGTCATTTCATGACCCAACCAGATAACGATATCAATGCTAGAATGGAGTGTGGTTTGCTCTCTGTTTATGCACAAATGGCTTGCCCTCTCATTGTTGGTTCCTTCATTACCGTTTGATTGTTTGTCGGAGCTGGTAGTTCCTTGATTGGGGTACTATTCATTCATTCATTTATTTATTTTTGTATGGCTGCCCACCGGTTCAATCAAATGACTAAGGGCGGCTTACACAATTCTTTACTTGACTGTTGGTCTAGTATTAACCTTGGTGTTAATGTAGACCAGGAATATCAAACTCGATTTCACTGAGGGCTGCATCAGGGTTGTGTTAGACCTTGAGGGGCCAGGTGGGCGTGGCCAGGGTGAGCGTGATTAGCTCAATGTCACTCATGTCGGGGGCTCTTATGGAGTGCCTGAGCACTCTGCCAGCCAAAATGGAGCATGGGAGGGCTGGCTATCGCAGCCGAAAATGGAGCTCGGGAAGAGTTGCGCGTGGCCCTTCCAAACTCCGTTTTCTCTGGCAGAGGCAGGTGCCTTGAGTTTGACACACCTCATGTAGACAAAGCAGCCATTAACAGGCACATAGAGATAAAAAGAATCATTTTTATCATTCTGAAGAGACAATCGAAAAGCTAAAAGGCCACAACACCTCCTTGCCATCCATCGACACTCATATATGAACAGAAAGCCAACTCCAGTCCTTTCTAGCACTGATGTGCTAGTGATTAAACTGTTGGACAAGGATGGGAATCTCTTCTCATCCTGATGCAGTGGGATTGTTTACAGGTTAGTCCTTGACTTATGACCCCAATTAAGCCCAACATTTCCAAGGCTAAGCAAGATACTTGTTAAGCAAGTTGTGTCTATGTTTACAACCTTTTTATTTTGCTACATAGTTGTTTACTAAACCAACTGGGCCGTTGTACTTCAAACAGTCACAAAATAAATCGTGGTTAAGTTGGGGGTGACCTGTAGTCCATCCCAGGGCCCGAAGAGTTGCATTTCAACCTCCCCTTCTCCCTCCTCTCCTTCCTACTCACCAGCCACCACCTGTAGGTCTCCTGGGGCAGGAAGGCATTTTGATTGGTTAAGAAGGGTTGCATAGTGCTGTTGAACCTCTCTTCGAACCAGGCGGAGCCCTCTTCCAAAATGCAGGTGTCACAACTGCAGGGCTGCCTGGCATATTTCAGCAGTTTTTTCACCTGCTCCGAAAACTGGTAAGCCATTTGCTTGGGATCCCAAGAGGTAGACACCACGTTGTTGGTGTAGTTGAGCAGGAATGACGTGATGGTGATGATGAACAGTAAGGCGAGGGTGAAGACTTTCAGGCCCTTGTTCCGAGAGGTCATCATTTTGGCAGGTTGGTTGGCTCCTTTTACGCAAGGGGCCCAAGAGGTGGGTTTTGTTTTTGTTTTTAAAAAGGAATCCTAAAATCTTTTGTTTAGTCGCGAACAAGTCATTGACTCCAAGGAATGGCCCTTCAGGGGGTCTTCTGGAGCTGTGGAAAGGAAGTGAATGTTCTCTCCTCTTCGTCTGCAGGCAGGTAGGGCAAAAACACGTCTTTTCATTCCCCCCCCTTCTTCCTTTCTCTTTGAACAGCTGCTGACTTCTCCTCCTTCTGAAAATTGAATTGAAAGAAAAGTATTGTAATTTTTATTTTGAGAAGTTATTACTGGAAAACTTAGGTTTAGGTAAGAAAAAGACTCTTACATTAAATCAATTTCTCTCTCTCTCTCTCTCATCTATTTATCTATCTATCTATCTATCTATCTATCTATCTATCATCAATCCATCATCCATCCTAGCTATCTATGATCCATGCATCTATCTATCATCTATTCATCATCTATCTATCTATCTATCTATCTATCTATCTATCTATCTATCTATCCATCCATCCATCACCTATCTATCATCCATCCATCTAGCTATTTAGCAATAGCACTTAGAATTATATACTGCTTTATAGTGCTTTACAGCCCTCTCAAAGCAGTTTACAGTCAGCATATTGCCCCAACAATATTTAGCCATCTAACCCTATCTTTTATCCATCCATCATCCATTCAAGCTATCTATAATCCATGTATCTATCTTCCATTCACCATCTATTTATTTATCTGTCTGTCCGTCCATCCATCCATCCATCATCCAGTCATCTATCTATCCGTCTATCATCCATCCATCCATCCATCCATCCATCCATCCACCTATCATCCATCCATCTAGCTATTTAGCAATAGCAATAGCACTTAGAATTATATACCGCTTTATAATGCTTTACAGCCCTCTCAAAGCAGTTTAAAGAGTCAGCATATTGCCCCAACAATATTTTAGCTATCTATCTCTATCTTTCATCCATCCATCATCCATCCATCCATCCATCCATTATCCGAGCTATCTATGATCCATGCATTTATCTATCCATCTATCTATCACCCATCATCTATCTATCTGTCTGCCTCATCCATACATCTAGCTATCTAGCAATCTATCCATCTACTTGCAAAATCATTTATTAGAACTCAAACTAAGTCATCAGTAATAGGTAGTTGCAACCTTGATGCTATAAATTGATAGAGTAGGACTTCTTTTTTCATCTGGAAACACAAAAGTTTTGTGTTTTAATACAGTATATAGTTGCAACATTTATGTTCTAATTCTTGTTTTCAGTGAATGTTAATTAAACTCTAGGAAGAGATTGGACAACTATTTGTCTGAAATGGTACAAGGCCTCCTGCTTGAGCAGGGGATTAGACCAGGACAGAGGTAGGGAAACTTGGCTCTTTTATGACTTATGGACTTCAACTCCCAGAATTCTTGAGTGAGCCATAAAAGGTTCCCCATCCCTGGCCTACTAGTTTTTCAGTTGTGGAGGAAATCAATTTTTGACTGGAATGGGACTGTTTAATATATAAATGTAGGACATATTCTTTATATGTCCTACATTTGTATTTTAAACAGTCCCATTCCAGTCAAAAATTGATTTCCCCCACAACTGAAAAACCCATTCAAGTCAAAAATTGATTTCCCCCATAACTGAAAAACCAGTAGGCCAGGAATGGGGAACCTTTTATGGCTCACTCGGGAATTCTGGGAGTTGAAGTCCATAAGCGATAAAAGAGCCAACTTTCCCTACCCTTGGACTAGATGAACTACAAGGTCTCTTCTAACTCTGTTATTCTTCTCTTCCTAACCACAGGTCCTTCCTGAATTGCAATAATTTTATATAAACTCTTGCTGTGTTGCACAATGAAGCCATCTGTGTTTACTTTTCTGGTGCTGAATTTACACTGCAATACTCTGAACACAATTGTGCAATCTGAAGTCTACCTTTCCAAGCATTTCATGGAGTCTTTCATTAAGCTTCAGTTGGTATCCATTTTATTTTTACTGGCTGTTCATAATGAAAGCGCATGTAACAGAATTAAAGTAGGCAAAAAAGCACAGCAAATATTCATCTGCCGTGTTCAATAGACAAACCTTAATTTGTCCCCCACACAAACTGCTTTTAAGTTGCTTAATTTAACACTCCCCCACCCTTTAAGGTTGATTCAGTTAAGCCTCTGGGTGGCCCCTGCCTCCCTATCTTTGGGATTCTCCAAAATTTGCCACCAATTTTGGCAATTTTAACATGGTAGAAGGAGGAAAGTATTAAATATACAGGGGATTAGCTGTATTGAATTGAAGGCACACATGCAAACAATACGTTTTCATTCCTTTTTCCTCAGAATGGAGTCAAAGATACTTTTTTCTTACTGCAGAGTTTGTGATGGATAAGATAACCTTTATTAGTTTAGTTTAGTTTAGTTTATTGTCATTGCACCTCGTACAACAATAAACCCAAGGAAAAATCTATATAAAAAAAAACTGTTTTAAAAGTGTCCCATCCTTCATTCAACATATTGTATATTTAAAACGTATCATTTTGTTGCCTGCATCTTTGTCAAGGCTTGTTTGATTAACCCAGGACATTTTTTAAAAACGACACTTTAATACTCCATCTAGGTTGTAACTTCCTTATGTACATATACCTTAAATATAATCCTTGAATATCTTCTTTGTAACAGACAGACAGGATTTCCTGGTTCTCCCTCCCATCTATCAACTCATCCTGTTTTGTTCAAAATTCAGCCAAATTTTGCAAAATACAGTTACCAGATCCAGGTGTCAAAACTTAGATAATGGATGGCCACAGAGCAACATGGAAAACTCTTAATTCTATTTATCATTTAGTGGTCACCCAGTTTTTTTGCAACCCAGATCAACTAGCTCTTCAGAAAAAAAAGGAGATGAAGTGATACCAGTTTTTAGAAAATGCATTCAAAATGTACGTTTAAAATAACAATTGCCTCTCGTATGCGAAAATAAACAAAAATGTGTCATTTCCCCAAAGCTGCATAAACAGTGGAACAGAGATCTATGGAAGTATGGAACAGACCTCTTTATGGAGATCTATGGATCTAAGAAGAGAAGGACCAAGGGAGACATGATAGCAATGTTCCAATATTTGAGGGGCTGCCACAGAGAGGAAGGAGTCAAGCTATTTTCTAAAGCACCTGCAGGCCAGAAAAGGAATAATGGATGAAAACTGAACAAGGAGAGATTCAACCTGGAAATAAGGAGAAACTTTCTGACAGTGAGAACTACCAACCAATAGAACAGAAGTTGCCTTCAGAAGTTGTGGGAACTTCATCACTGGAGGCTTTCAAAAAAAAAAAAAAAAGATTGGATTGCCATTTGTCGGAAATGGTGTAGGGTCTCCTGCTTGGGTAGGGGGTTGGACTAGATGACCTACAAGGTCCCTTCCAACTCTAATATTCTGTTTTCTGTAATTTCAGATGGAAATGTCTACAGAGGAAGAGACAGAGTAGACATTCTTTGTTCTCCATCCTCAAGCTTCACACCTATACTTAGGTTGAATTGATAGGGCCAGAGAAAGGCAGTTCTATGGACTTCTTTTTGAAGCTTTTTGAAACTTTGAAGCTTCTCTGAGATGCTGGGAATAACCACAGACCAATTTTCCATGTATATTCTGCATTTGTCAGCAGAACATAAGATTGTTAGGTTCAATCTCTGTTAAGTTTATTGCTCTTATCTTAGCTTTGTCTGGAACAAGTTGCCTCCAGAAGTTGTCAATTCTTCAATGCTGGAGGTTTTGAAGAAGACATTGGATATATTTATTTATCTGAAATAGAATCATATAGAACAACAGAGTTGGAAGAGACCTTGGAGGTCCTCTGCTCCAATTCCCTGCTCAAGCAGGAGAGTCTATTCCAAATACCAGCCCCTACCTAGGATTGAACTCACAGCTTCCTGACTGTGAGGTGAGAGCTTCACCATGGTATAGGATTTCCTACCAGAGCAGGGGGTTGGATTAGATGACCACCAAGGTCCCTTCCAACTCTGTTATTCTGTTTCAACAAAAATGAGGGGAAGCATGCCAGTAATTTCTTTAAACTGAACTTTTCATTTCAAAGTGCATCTTGCTCACCATTCTTAATTATTATTCAAAATAATAATAATTGTATTAATTAATTATTTTTGTTATATTATTATAACCAAAAACAACAACAACCCCAAAGGAAAATCTGAAATGAAATGTTTAAAAGTGGCCCCATCTTCGTTCCAAGTATTGTATTTAAAGGGCAATTCAAGAACGTCTTGCTTCGTACTTGTTCTGTTCTCTTAGTATTTGAGTACATGTTTCTCAAAGTTTGTTTGATTAACCCAGGACACAAAAGAAAGAAAGAAAGAAAGAAAGAAAGAAAGAAAGAAAGAAAGAAAGAAAGAAAGAAAGAAAGAAAGAAAGAAAGAAAGAAAGAAAGAAAGAAA